TAACTCACTCAATTCTTAAGATAAAATCATGAAAATTGGTATGCAGCCTCTTTACTTATATATAAACATTTCCATAAAACTTCATAATTTTATTCTAAGTATTACTCAAGTTATTCGCGTTTGAAGTTTCAGCTGAATTCGTGCATGTAAAGTTCAACTTGCATGTCTAACTTTAAAAATCAATAACCCGAGTTATACTAGGCTAATTGACTTGATTCTTGATCTTATGAATTTATATTTTACACAAGAAACATTCATATAAAGCATTGTTTCCCAAGTTTTTCATAGCATAGTAAAAAACGTACAAAAACATGACATATGGAACATGCAAGTGAGCTGGAAGCATTTATTTATTTTGCATGCTTATATATCCTTAATAACTGAACATATATGGCACATATCTGTATAAATAAACTCCTTATCTCATCTATATTATGATTTTAAGAAGATTTGAGTACACCAACCTCTAAAACTTCAAGAAAAATGCAAAGAAACTCGGGTATACTCGCTCTTGCTCGGTCCTCGTATAGTTGCGGCTTCTTGCTTCCTTGGACTTGAATTCTTGATTTTTATGGCACTAAATGCTTCTAAGATGAGAGTAGGATGGTGGAAGATGAATATATAGTTGGGGTTCTCGAAAATACTAGCTAGAACTCAAGAACACTCAACAACAAAGCACTCGGGTAGCACAAGGTTCACTCTCGGCATCTTGATTTAGCTCTCGGTTTTTGCCACTCTTGGAGGGGATTATGCTCGAAATTTGCTGAGTTTCCAAGTGCTAAATGAGGTCTCTAAGAAGCTGAAGTGAAGTCTTAAAAGCTGGTCTAAGGGCGTTAATACTTAGGAGGGAAAATGGTAGATAAATGTGATGACTACACTTTCCTATGTGCATTGGTCTTTGGGGCATGGTCTTGGCACGATTTTGGATGGAATATTGGGTGGGAATGCATGATTTTTCAGAGAATATTGGGTGAATAAGGAGGTCTGGTCAAGCACTTAAGGTGGAGAAGTAACATGGTCTTTAACACCTTTCAATATTAAACTCAATGCACATGCTAGCTTAGCATAAAATATTGCTAATGATGGATGACTTGAGCTAATCATTCTTATGCATGGCTTAGGCTGAAACTTAACTTAAAATTATATAATCACCCTCTAATATACATGCATGATCTTGAACTTGAAAGGAAAAAAGGGCCACAATGAGCCATGGCTCGACACTAGGCTTGGGTTCGACGCGAGAGAATTGACGATCCGACACGAATCGAAAAATGTCGAACTTAGTAAATGAAATAGTCTAACATACATGGAACATTAAGGCAAATAAGCATATATAATCACATAAGTCACATAATAACACTTAGTCGAACAACTCGGAAAAATTTGCAAAATACCGATTTCACTTTAAAGTCGAGCAAGTGAAACCGTTCTGATATTATAACTGATCGGGGCGTTACAACCTATCCTCCTTAAAATATTTCCGTCCTCGGAAATACAAAACTAGGGTACTAGGTCAGAACTCCTACTACGAACTATTTACAAAAGCATAAGATAAAAGTACACAAGGAACAACTGATACAACTCAAAACTCGAAATCTGGATATCGAGCTCTGATCTCGGCCTCTCTCTCCCAAGTGGCTTCCGACTCGTCGGGGCGACTTCAGAAAACTTTGACGAGCTCTATATCTCCGTTTCTCAGCCTTCGAACCTTTCGGTCCAGAACTGCTACCGGCCTCTCATCATACGTCAGGTTCTCCCCGACCTCTAGCTCGTCAAAGTTCACTACATGGCTCGGGTCGTATACATACTTTCTCAACATCGACACATAGAAGACGTTGTGTACACCCGAGAGTTTTGGGGGTAACGCCAGACGGTAGGCTGTTACGCCAACTCGTTCGAGAATGTCGAATGGCCCTATGAATCGGGGTTATAGTTTCCCCCTCTTCCCAAAGCGTACAACGCCTTTCATTGGCGTGACCTTCAGAAACACTTTGTCTCCCTGGTCAAACTCAAGCTCCCTTCTACGCTTGTTAGCGTAGGCCTTCTGTCGGCTCTGTGCCTCTCTCAGCTTCGCTCGGATCTCGGTTACCTTCTGCACCATGTCCTCGGTCAATTTTGGACCGAGAACCTGTTTCTCGCCAACTTCATCCCAGTAAAGGAGTGAGTGTTAGAGTAGTATACCCAGCGTTCCAATCTGATTGGACGTATTCTACTTGTAAATACAATCTATTGGAATTATATTAATTAAAAGGCATTACTTTATCTTAAGAATAAGCATTTATCATATAATTGCACTTAAGATAAAATCCCTAGATCACATATGTTATAAGGTATGGTTGCGCATAGAGATGGTGATCATGGAACGTACCTTGAAAGCAGTGATCTTAAATAAAGTTCCAATTCGATGGATGTTTCGAGAT